GTTCCTCTTCCTGTCGTTCTGCCACCCCCATTATTCATATGTTGCGTCATTTCATTTTGTCCCAGAGCTCCCTTAGGCTCTCCATCCTGCCTTTTAATTTTTTTCTCCAACTGCAGTTCAGTTTGGGTGTGTTTTGCTTCCCTCTCTTTTAATTCGCTAATTTGGTCCTCTGCTTCTCCTAGTCTACTTTTGAGACTTCATAGTGTTTTTTATTGCAGCCTAATCACTCTTTATTTCTTCTTGGTTCTTACATAATTTGTTAATTTTTTTACCCATCCGGTTTATGAACTGTATGATCCTCCGTTTCACTTAGCTCCTTTTCTGGCAATTTCTCCTTTGGGGGTTTCTTTGTCTCCCCATTTTTGTTCTCACCAAAGGATCTATGTGTCGAGTCATGCGGGGACTGCTCCTCGGGTGGTTGCAGCAGTTGCTGCTCCTCAGTTCTCAGCAGCTCCTCTGGTAGGCGTTGCTCTCATGGCTGCTTCTCCTCGGATGGGGGGGCGCGGGCTGCTTGCATGGCTGCTGCTCCTGGGATGGGGGCAGGCTGCTCCCGTGATTGCAACGCCCTGGGCTAAAGCATTGGGCTGGCCAGAGGGGACCACTCTTTGGAACTCACAGGAGCCCATGCCTGGGGTGGCTGGAGTCTCAGTGACTGTGGGACCTCAGCTGAGGCAGCAGGTCCTTCGTGGGGGTGGCTGTAGAGTCCTGGGTGGTGTCTGAGGGCACCCTGGGTGGAGGTAAGGCTGGGCTCCCCTTCAAGAAGGCGTGCCCTGCAGTAGAGCCAGCCGCACAGGGAATATATGCAATGATAGCAGAGGCTGCCCGCTAGGCGAGCCCGGTCTGTCTGCCCCCAAAGGTCCTGCGGGATCTAACTGTCTCTCACTCACACACACACACACCCACACACATACATCCACATACTCCCCTTTTGCTCCCTCACTCAGTCACGCTCTCTCCCTCACTGCCACCATCTTCCTGCCTCTGTAGTTGGGTCTGCAGTGTTATTGACCTGTTCGTGGATGGAGTTTCCTCTCTGGGTGTCTGGTTATTTGGCTTGTTCTCTACCACATTGACCAAACAGGACAAAATGTCACTCAACAAGACATGACACAAAGGGAACAAAACACAAATGCACTCACATCACTGATAACCCCAATATAAGTGACCACCAGAGAAATAGGGGAGAGAAAAAAGAGCACAAATGATATCAAAGAGAAAAAAAATGGTAAGAAAAGAAAAAAAAAGAAGAAGAAAAAGGGAAATATACATATGGGGATAAAACACCACAGAACAAACAGAAAAACCAAAAAAAATGCAAATACCAAACACCCAGAAAAGAGGGTGGTGGCAGAATCTGTAGAGGCTTATATACAGAAAGTAAGGTTAAGGAATTGGATGAATATGGGGAGGACCTCAGTCAGTATAGAGGAAGTAGAGGATGAGTGGATAAGAAGAAAGAAAAAGAGAAGGAAGAGAAACAATTAATTTAAAAAATAGGATAAAATAAATATATTAAAAATAGCATGATGGAAAAATAATGCCAAAAGGAAAAATAAACAGACAAAAAAGGAAAATAAAGAAAAAAAAGGTAACAAAATAATAATAAAATGAAATAAAGATAAAAATGAAAAAGTGAAGTGTGGTTCATTTCTGCCAAATTTTAATGCCCCATGGGGGCTGGTTTAAGATCCCACTCTTATGTACTGTCTGCCACTTCTCAGTTTCCTGTTAGGTTGCTGAAGTTCCAAGTGGTCCACCGCTCCTCTGTGTCTGTCTCCACAGCCTTGACTGCCAGCAGGTGGAACCAGTCTGCCCACTTAGCCTGTCTGCCTGCTGTCAATCTTAATCTCTCAAGCAGCTGTTTCTGACAGGTCTATAGTTGGGGAGGTTGCTGAGACTGAAAGGCTTCTCTTCAGCCCAGTCCCTGAGGGCTATCAGGGACAATATATATAGATATATATATATCCTTTGTAACACTCAAGGTGTAGTCTGGGTGTGGCTGTATTGGTTGCCTGGAGACTGCAGGGAGGGGCTATTTCTTCAGGAGAAGATGGCTGCTTAGGTCTGGTGTCTCATGTATGCCTCAGTGACAGATCCCCGGCCACCTCTCCCAGCCTCTCCCCAGACTCCACAACTCCACAACTCCACCTGCACCTCAGCCATAGGTGTTTGTATTTGAAACGTCCTATGAACTGGGTTTAGCGAATAAAAGCAAAGATCAACAAGTTGGAAAAGAGCTGTGCCACTACAAGTCCCTCTCCCCCAGTATAGTGTGGCTTGGGCACTTGTTCAGGCTTCCCCCTCTGGGCTCAGCCTCTCATGGCTGTGGGCTTAGATCTAGAATCCCATGCCACCAGCAGCCATGTGGACTTCCTTTCCACAGTGAGATGTTACACCTGTCCCAAGGGACACGGCCTTGGTGCCATGTGGCTTCCTTCTGATCCTCTGGGCTTGGAGGACCCGCACCTCTCTCCAGCCCAGATCCCTGATGTTACTGTTGTCCGGGCGTCCTCTGCCCTTCCCAGCTATGAATTGTCTCACCAGCTGTACCTACTTTGCCAATTCAAGGTGGATGTTATTCGATTTATTTGCTCCTTCTATCTGTTCCTGGACAAGGCTTCGGACACGTCTACCTGTCCTTCTGCCATTTTGTCTTCCTCAGATACTTCTTAAACAGATCAATCAAGAAGAAGATTAGAAAGGTTCTGTTAGTCTTTGATTATCTTAGCAAATGCAATTTTGGTATAGTAAAGGGGTTGAAGAATGGAAGATGAAAAAATAGAGACAGTGCATGTAAACAACCAGTTGAAGAAGTTTAGCTGAGGAGGGTAGGTGGGAAAAGAAAGTGGGAGCTAGAAGAGGTTATGGGGTTAAAGTGGTGATTTTGCTTTATTTTTAAGCTGATAGAGAGGTGAGCATGTTTAAATGCGGGTGTGATAGGAATATTTGAAAATGAAGATGAGAAAAAGCATAATCAGCACAAAATCACTGAGAAAGCTAAAGGGAATGGTCCAAACCCCAGATGAAAGAATGCTGTTTCCATTGAAGCCTAATAGGTGTGGATGCAAGCTTAATGATGGGAAGCAGAGGAAGTTCCCATCTTAGGCCTCTACTTTTCTTTCTTCTGTAAAGGAAGAGGTGACGTCTACTGCTGAGAGGGGAGGAGAGATTGTGAAAATCAGAGATATGAAGAGAGGGGAGAAGATTATAATGATCTCTTGTGGAAGAGGTAGAAAAGGCTGTTATACGATTGCAAAGCAGTGCTGAGATCAAGTATAGATAGTGATTGTGATCATGTTTCTCGAGTAGTGCTCATCCTTCCAAATGCAGGTTTGGAACAAGCAGATGGATAGAGTCATCAAATGTGGGGTTTTGCCTGGCTAGTGTCATGGGATAACAAAAGAATTAGAGAATTTAAGACATTGCTAAAAAGTGATACATTATGGGATATACGTTGGATAGATAAGAAAATAGTTATTTAGAAAGGTTCTGATTAATAGGAGGAGGAAAGTGGAAGAGTCTGGAGTAAAAGTCTGGCTGAGTTAAAGAGCAATAGCGGGCAGTACAAAGATAAGGTTCCTCTTCATCCAGAATTTGTGTTTGACTTGAGAGGCAAACATATAGGTGGAAAAGTTCTTTGGAGATAAGTAATTACGGAATTGGGAGGCCAGGTTCTAGGTAGGTTATCTTCTCTGACATTGAAGTCACACACTACAGCACTTCTCAGACTTGAATGTGTATGTGAATCACCTGGGGCCTAGTAAAACTACAGATTATGATTCAATGAGTTGGGGTGGAGCCTTAGATGAGCATTTCTTGCAAGCTGTCTTATGGTGGTAATGCTTCTTGTCTACAGACCACACTTTGAGTAGTAAGGACCTAGAATGAGGTCCTGAGGGACATGGGGGTGGGAGGAAGTTGTGAACTAGGTACTGGAGACATCGTGACCACAGAGGTATGCCTAGAGATCAATAAAGATAGTGATGAGGAGAGAGAAGATGAGTGAAGTGACAGAGTTGAGCCTCAAAAGAGCAAGAGTTTTAACGAGTGCATGGAAAAAGGATCTTGATGTGGTACTGGGAGTTGAAAGAATCAGTCCACATCCATGGAGAGTGTTTAAGAGAAAGCAGTTTCTATTTCAGGTCTGAAAAGGAGAGCAGTTTCTTTGCAGGAGAGCTGGTTTCAACTAAAAATGACTTGTAGAAGACATTCAGTGAAGTTTGCGTATTCTGGAATAGGATTTAAGAGAGAGTCAGAAGTTCAAGGGATTTTTGTGGGGATGAGTACATTTTGGACAATAAGCGAGAGAAGTGATAATTCAGCTGTTGTCTTAGAGGTTTAGTGAGCCATCAAGGAACTTAGAATTCAGCTTTCTGTGGGGAGTAAGTGTAATAATCTAATATAAATGGCAAGGTGGCAAGTTTTTAAGTCTAGTTGTCTAATGAGCTGAAGTGCATACCAGGTTGTTCTGCATTACTCCAGTAATGAAGACCAGATGATGAGTATAAGAAAAGGGTGTACTGTAAAATGACCTGTTTGGTGGTATGTTCCCTAAAGACCATTGAACATGTTAAACTCCCTGTGTTTACTTTTGCCTCTAAGTGACAACAGATATATAAGGCAGCTATAGGTTGGAATGAGCTACAGCTAAAGAAAAGATAAGCATGACAATCTTGATCATATATATATTTCCCTAAAACATTAAAACCGAACTTGTTCAATAAAAATTGCCATAGAAAAACAAAGAAGTAAAAGTTGAAGTTGCTTTTATTTTTTCCCTCCCTACGGGCAAAAATTGTACAGATTTTAAAATATTGTGAACGTTTCACATTGAATCCACTATATCTTTATCAAAGCTTAAGCATCACATCACATTATTTAGTAGTTTGCATCTGTGAAAATGATCAGTTGTAATTTGTTGCAATATTTCTTTGGAGCTTTGTTTACTGTGTACTTTGAAATTGTCTCTCATAATTTTCCCCCCTTATCTTTATTTTTAGTTTCAGAAGCCAGTAATGATTCAACAATAGATGATGTGGTTGAAAATCATGTTTCTGACCAACTTTCATCAGATATTACACCAAATGCTATGGATGCTGAATTTTCAACATCATCTTCTCCAGCCAATTTACTGGAACGACCAACCAATCATACAGAGACCCTTGGTCATGATCATTTAGGAACTAATGACCTCACTGTTGGTGGATTTTTGGAAAATCATGAGGAGCCAAGAGATAAAGTACAATGTCCTGAAGAGAATATACCAGCATCTTCACTCAACAAGGGGAAGAAATTGATGCATTGCAGAAGCCACGAAAAAGTCAACACTGAACTAAAAGCACAAATAATGAAAGAGATTAGAAAGCCAGGAAGAAGTATGTATAATTAGACACAAACCTCAGATTTTATTTTGTGTGTGCTCAAAAAAAAATAAAATTAAAGCTTATATCTAATTCTAGATCAGTCTTGAATAATATATAAGCTACTAGAGGCCTGGTGCATGAATTCATGCACTGGTGGGGTCCCTCGGCCTGGCCTGCACCCTCTTAAAATCCAGGACCCCTCAGGGGAAGTCGGACTGCTGGTTTCAGCTTGATCCCCACAGGCCAGGCCAAGGGGCCCTACCAGTGTACGAATCTGTGCACCGGACCTCTAGTATGCATGATAAGATCTTTGGTTAATCTCTTCCCACCCTCCCCACTTCCCCCTTCCCTCTGAGATTCATCAGTCTGTTCCATGTTTCCATGCCTGTGTGTTGAGCATCTGCCCACTGGTGGTCAGTGTACGTCATAGCTACCAGTCAGACGGTTGCTTAGGCTTATATATATATAGATATGTGGGATTTGATTCTTTGTTTAGCTGAAAAATACCTGCTTGCTATATCCAAAGTACTATGCTAGGTATGATAAGCAGGAGGGACTGAGAACACAGGAAGAGCACCCATAAATTGCATATAGTTCCTACCATGACAGGAACCCATAGTCTTTAGTATTCTCCTAGCCAGCAACTGAAATTTTAATGTAGCAGCAAACCCAAAAAGATGTTGGGAATATTAAATGACTTCATGTCTCTAAAGTTCTTGGCATAGTGCTACCACTGTGTTTAAGATTTAAACTATTATGGTGACCAGTGATGTGTTTAGGTAAAAAAACTAAAGTTAGGAAAGCTATCTATTATATCAGTGGTTCTCAACCTGTGGGTCGCAACCCCTTTGGGGGTCAAACGACCCTTTCACAGGGATCGCCTAAGACCATCGGAAAACGCATATATAATCACATATTGTTTTTGTGATTAATCGCTATGCTTTAATTATGTTTAATTTGTAACAATGAAATTGGGGGTCACCACAACATAAGGAACTGTATTAAAGGATCGAGGCATTAGGAAGGTTGAGAACCACTGTATTGCATGAAAACGAACTTTGTGGGATAAACTTTCAGTATCAACTGGCATTCTTTCAGAATGTGTCGACAGATCACTTGTTATGATGGTCCAGAAATGGGTAAGACTCAGTCCTTGCCATTTAGGATCTTACAGTTGTTAGCAGAGTTTTGTGTGAAAACTTGAAACTAAAATAGTCACTCTTACTCTGTTTTATTATTTTTCCTCCTTATACCCCCAACACCCAACCCCCTTTCCCTGTGATAGCTATAGTTTACAATTTTCATTGTAAGGGTGCATTTTTGTTAAGGCCACTTGCGTCTTACTTTTCAGTGGCAATACCAAAAAGCTAATACCAAAAAGCTATTTATTCACCCTTCTAAGCTTTGGAACTTTAATGAGAACTTTTACTAAAAAAGCAGTGTTTGACAAAGTCTTCAATGAGCAGTGAAAATTTTATGTAGAATATTTTTGGTTTTGTCTTAGTATATCTTGTAAACTGAAATAGAAAAATATTAAATATGAGTGCAAATGAAAGCCACTTAACTTTTTTTTTTGCTTCTCTTTTAAGAATATGAAAGAATCTTCACTTTACTGAAGCATGTACAAGGCAGTTTACAAACAAGACTAATATTTTTACAAAATGTCATTAAAGAAGCATCAAGGTAAATAATCTATAGAACATTATAAGAAGTATTTTAACAATATGTATTGTGCTATGCATGTATGTGACACACACACACATAAGCACTTCTCTCTTTTGTAATTTATTGAAAGAAGTTCAATTAAAAAACAGCCACACAAAAATTCTTTAGAACTTGAATTTTTTCTTCCTACGAAGTATAGGTACTTGCATAATTCTTTTTTCCTACTCTTGTGGCTTTTGGTGTCTGTATATTTAACAGCCTCTAATTTTTCTCCTTTGTATATTTGGATTACTGTTAATATTAATCAGTGATTAGTAATAACCTCAAGGCAATATTTTAATGCAGCTCACTTATATGTGGGAAAACTTGTAATTAAGGGGACCAGAGTCAGACAAATGGGTCTTATTCTGATTGCTTCAGTAGCCCAGGATTATGTACTTTAGTACAAAGAGTGTGAATCAAGATTATAAATGGTAACTCCATAGTACAGTTAACTGGAAAGCATAGTTTTATGTTTAGTGAATATAAAAATTTGTTTTATTTTTCCTTTAAGACTTTTAATATTTTAAGAAAACAGAGTTTATCTTATCTGACCTTCCCAATATACCCATTTTTTAATTAGTCCCTCAGTTTCTTCCATGCTACACTCAAAGTTTATTTTAGATTGAGCAGTTCAGTGTGTGTGTGTGTGTGTTGTGTGTGTGTAAGAAAGAGGCTACAGCATAGGCTACTTTGAAGGTGCAAGATAAGGCGATAACTTTTCACATTAGCTGTTTTGAGCATTAATCTATTCTGCTCTTTACATAACATTCTGTCATCTTGGATGTCATCATGGATTTAGCTTATATTCCTGGTGCCTGCACTTCTACCACCTTTTAGAGCAGCAATTTTCAACCAATGTGCATCAAGAAGTTAAAAACTTCTGCAATACCTGACTAGTCAGGGGCATTGACCTCTTTTTTCTTACATTGTCAAATTAAAAAATGACATCAGTCATCACAACAATAATCAATGTGCATGAATCAAAATTCGACCTATTTTTTGGTCAGATTGGCAAAAATGTGTTTTTTGGTGTGCTGCAGATTTACTAATTAGTTTATGTGTGCCATGAGATGAAAAGGTTGAGAATCGCTATTTTAGAGAGTTACGTAATATTATAGTGGTTACAAGTAGAGAAAAAGTGGGTATAGATTAGGCAGTGTTTTGGGATATTTTAAAAAGCATCGGCAGTATTAGTGCTATGTAGACAAATGCAGTTTCAATGAACTATGTTACTGAAAAAATTTTTAAATTGCAGCTTGAACGGTAACTGTTCATTATATTCTATACTAAAGATGTCTAATTATCCTTGATTTGCTAGCTTTCAAATTGTAACAGTAGAACACTGTGGCTTTTAAGTGCTACTACCCAGCTTTCATTTCATCTAACATTTTGTGAGGGATTATATTCATACTTTGTTCACATTCCTTTTACCATTCAACTTTCAAAGAATATAAGAAGAAGCTATTGGATTCATTGCTTTGGAAGTCCTAATTTTGCTGCAGTATTAGTAATCCTGTATATATTAGGTTTTTCCTTTTTCTTTTTTATTGTGGAAGGAATAATCTCTTTCCCATTGTACTTAGGCCTGGATTGTTTGTTTTAGGAACAAATTGTAATACAGTACTGATAAAAATAATTTGCTAGTCTTCCAGGAGATTTCATATATTATAAAGTTGTTGATTTTTAATTTTTATTTCTCTTTGAAAAATCTTCCCAAGGCAGTTTCTGTTTTAAGAAAAATATTATACTGATGTATAACTTACTCGTTAAAAAGGAATTGAGAGTGCTATTATTTTTTTTATACAGGTTTAAAAAACGAATGCTAATAGAACAACTGGAGAACTTCTTGGATGAAATTCATCGAAGAGCCAATCAGATCAACCATATTAATAGCAATTAAAAGAAAACAGAATGTGACCACTTATTTCACTATATCTTCTCCAAATACAAAGTAAATACAAGACTGTTGTGATTTTGCATTCATTTTTTGACATGCATTGTTGGCTATTTGAAATACTAAGAGCAAGTCTACAGAACCTTTCTCATCATTTTACAGTGACCTTTTCATTTTGGTTTATTTTTGTAATGTGAAAAGTATCACTCTAAAAAACATTTTTATTTAACAAACTAAAAATATTCCTTCAAATCTCTTGCTTGTCATTGACTCTTGCGTGTCAATTTCCCTCAGGTTCTATTTTCTTAAACCAACCTTTAAAATTGTCACCTCTGTTAAGGTTGAACTTTGCCAAAAAAATAAAAAAGAAGTTACTTTGTAATTTTTGGGGAAAAAAGCACATACATTAAAACTAGGTAATGTTTTGTATATACAGTTATTTTGGATATATTATTGTAAGTTGTACAAATGTATTTTGAAGAATATTTAAGAAAAGCACTTTTGTTATTCCATCAATAAATGCTCTATTTTACTCTTGTGTGGTTTAGGAAATAATCACATTTAAAGAAATCATTTAAAACTATCTTAAGGTAATGGAATTTTAAAAGCTTTGCTTTATAGCATTGAAAAAAATACACCACTTGAAGTTCATATTTGTTAAACCTAACTGTAATTACTTGGTACATAATCTGCATTGTCTTTTTTCTATATGTTCTTATCTTTTGTTGGTCATGCCAAAGTACTCCCATTTCTGCCCAGAGAATGGAATCAACAATATCTGTAGCAGATAGGCAGATACTTTAAAAGCTGTTTAAAAAGCAGAAACCTTTGGACATTATTGGTTTCCTTATTTCCCTTCAACCCCTTTTCCTTTCTTACTAGATTATAGATGGCTCAGAGTTGAAACTGTTAGGGACTTGTAAGTTTGGGGAACATCACATACTCTGAAATAGCTTCCTGTTAGCAGCTTGATGCCATGCTTACAAAAGTCCCATAAATTGGGAGTTCAAGGGAAATCTCTTTGTTCTCTGCTATTCTCACACATAAACTCTCCATTTTATTTGAAGCTAAATGAAAAGGAAACACATTAGGATGACTTGGCTCATTTTGCATTACCCCTGTTTACCTGGGACAAGGAAAAACAAACACTATTCATTGTCCACCTTCAGTAAAGTGGCCTCATGTCCTTACTGAGGACACGACCCTATGACCTGACTCACCATTCATATATCACTGCTGTGCCTTGTAGTGCTTTGGGGTAGCCAGTAGAAAAAGAAAAATGCATTTAGATTAAGTGGGTGAAATAAATTTATAAAATTATAGTAAAATTGAAGTATTTTTAGGTTCATAACATTTGAAAATTACATACCCTTATCTTTTTACACTTTAGTAGAACAGTTTTTACATTTCAAGGGTATAGGGTAATGAAATTGTAACTTTTTATGAAGAAAAGCATAGATGAAAGTGGAGAACATGTTTGAGATCTGTTAATTTTTTTAGTCTAGGGGATTTGAAACTCTCCTACTACTGAAGATAAACCCTGTCAAGAAAAAGAAGCATGTATAATGTTATATAGTATTTTCATATGCAATTCTTTAAACCTTTTTTACCTCTACTAACTTTCTTTAAAGCAGGATGTCATTTAATAGATGGAATTGTTAAGGTAATTATCTACAGTCACATTGCTAAAGTCGGCAAGAGTTACACAAAATCCAGAATATATTGTCTGGTCTTAAATTATATATAAATGTTTATATTCCGAGATTAATGGAAGGGATTACATACAAGTCATTCAGATAAAAATTCATACTTAAGAATATTTAGAAAAGGGATTCAGTCTATTCCAATATTTAGTGTCCTTATCAAAAAAAATTCCAATTTTCATTTCAAAAGTTGCTTATGAGCTACTACTCCTTTAGACTCTTGACCTTTAATTCATTGTTGGGGGGATGAACCCTAGAAAGAGTTGTAAAGAGGCAGTTTATTCAATCTCTTTTTGTCAATCTCTGCCACAATACCGTATACGCTCATCCTAAAACCTAGTCACAAGGTTTGAAACCCATTGAAATTCAAGCTTAATATCCCACCTCTATCAGGTTTTCTGCATTTTAAGAAACATAGCTTATATTTCAATTAGTGAAATACTGTAGAATTCTTATAAGCAAAGGGGAAGTGGACTATATTTGAGTGAAATATGTCTTTTAGGCCTTTCAGCTCGCTGGATGACTAGGCTGGACAAACTATATTTTTCAACAGTTAAGTCTTGAGATAAAGTTTTTCTTAATGGTCTCATGTGTCCCATTTGTCAATTGATGAGTCATTATTTGCCCTTATTAGTAAGATTGATCAATTTGGTATACTGAAGGCTGAGACTCATTTTTATCTCTTCAATACCCCTGTCACCAGAAGAGTGCCCATCCACTTGTGTGATGTGGGTAAGTATCTCTGAGAAAGAGAGGTAAATTAATTCACAGGGACTATAGATGTGCAGCAGATTATGTCACTGGTTTTGGATTAGCCTTATGTTTTCATTCTCTGTTTACTAAGGCAATTCTACAAACTATCATCGAAATGCTAGTGTGTCCTTTACTACTTCAAAGATTTTATAGTCATTTTAAAAATATATTTTATTGATTTTTTACAGAGAGGAGGGGAGAGGGATAGAGAGTTAGAAACATCAATGAGAAACATCCATCAGCTGCCTCCTGCACACCCCCTACTGGGGATGTGCCTGCAGCCAAGGTACATGCCCTTGACCGGAATCAAACCTGGGACCCCTGAGTCTGCAGGCCAATGCTCTATCCACTGAGCCAAACCGGTTAGGGTGATTTTACAGTCATTTTTATGCAGTTAAATTCCAAGAAAGAAATTATTCTCGTAACTGTCATCAACTTTTATTGGCTATCAGCTTTTGACAATGACCTTTCTGTTCCAATTTGGTCTCCCGTCTGTCTTAAGGGAGTAGAACCTGTCATCGTTCATTTTTGATATATATGTTTTCTGAGAGGGCTCTCTGTTGCTTGTTCTGAGTGATATGTGTCATTTTCATTTAATATGTATGGGGTTGGGATGATTACTAGCAGGACATATCTGTTGATGGACCTTTTCTCCCCAAATAATCCCAAAATGATCATTTTCATCCTTTTTGTCACAAAATTGTTCCTTTGATTGCTAGCACAACTTGCAGCAGTATGCAAATGATTCTCAGATAAAATGATGTTGACAATATTTCCTTAAAAATTTGTGTAAAGCCTATGCCTAATTTTCATGATTCTAACTTTTGACTTTTTTCTCTCCATAAATAAAAATAATGCCTGATGTTTAGTTAAAGTAGATCCATTTTTGCTTGATTTTATTAGTCTTGTTCCATACTATTTCTTTTGAACACATTTAGACTTGCCAACAACTCTTTACTGAGAATCTCTTTTCCTTCCTAGGCTGATAAATAATTGCCATAGGCGGAGGGGGAACAGTAAGAGGAATAATTTGAATACTTTGTTCAGTGTTGTTGACACTTAAGGACTTCTGGGCTTGTTCTTATGTGCTAATTATTTGCCTGTACTATGCCATTTTTTTAAATTAAGATGAGGTATAGGGGGATTAAAATTACAAGGGCAAACATTTGATTTTTTTTTTCAGCAAACGAGAAAGAACAACAGAAAGACTAGAAATCTGAGTGCATGCATTTACTAGACCATTAGGGTTGCTGAGAGGCAGAGGACTTCTTCGATACTCTAGTGGTCTGAAGGAACTGTCTTTTATCCTGCAATGACAATGGACTGGGCAACAAGTTCAAGAAAAAAGTCAAGACTTATCATTTATTTTACTTTTGTGATTTTTCTAAGTCTCCCCAGAAGTAGAAACTTGAATTTTAAAAATGTACATCAACTACAAATGAGCTTGAGAGAGAATGGTGAAAACCCACAGAGGATATTCATTTCCCTTTAGTTATGAAATGTTCTCCTTTCTTGGGATATGAAGCACCATGGAAACTAGCTAGAGGGAATGCTTGTTAGGCTACTGTGGATAAATGAGCCCTTGTTGCTAGAGAGAGGCTGATCAGTAATTTATCTGAAGTCTAACAAAAACTGTAATGCCAGTGTTGTGCTCAGGAAAAAGATGTATGGCCGATTTGCTTTAAAAATAGGGATCTGAGACCTTTTTAGTAACAGCAGCACTGCAGGAAAGATAATAGAAGAACCCCATTAAAAGTTGATATCTGTAATACTTTCAATAATAAAGATAAATTAAAAACAGAAGAACCCCATTGCATTTTCTATTCATTTGAAGAAAGTTACTATTAAAGTTGGATATGAAGTCCCTTGATTTTGAAGAAGTAAAAGCATCCTAATTTTTCATTTTGATTAGGATGGGGTGAAATTGGGAAAATTAAAGAGAAAAGATAACTATTTTTTCAGAATGACTATTCCTTTTATGGGGATGATGGTACAAATCTTTTTCAAAATGGGTATCTCTTCCATTATTTTTCAAAAACTGTTCTCTGTTAACATGTTTTTTAAATGCTATACCACGTCTGCACTTGGGGTTTTCAGTAGGAAACTTTAGAAGTGTGAAGATTGAACTGGCTAAATCTAGATATAGACAGCAGTGGGGCTATGTGGACAGCTCAGTTCTCCTTATGAACACACCTGTGGCTACAGATGCCTTGGTGCCTTCCTCTCAAACCTCAATCTTGGCTTTGTGGATCACTTCAAAAACAAAAGCCATCTTGGCCTAACCATAGGAGATAAAGATGTGAATTGCTTATTGTATTTTTTATGCATTTGTTTTAGAGATTGAGTACATTTTCCAAGAGTGCACTGTACTTAACAGTTACAGTCTTATGTTGCTTACTGTATAGCTAGGGAGAGCTTGTCAGAAAATTCTTAAGGTGCAGAATTTTATGCAACTTTCAAAACAAAGTTAATAAATCATAACTCCAAATTAATATCCAGGGTTGTGCCCCATTTTTTCAATAGTTATTTTTAAAAATAGTTTCTAGTTAATATTTACATCTCTGTCAGCCAATATTTCTAAAACTTTGGTGGTATAAGAATTACCAGAATATGTGTTGAAGTGCAGATTCTGGAGTCCAGAAATCTACATTTCTGTCAAGCTTCTGAGATGATTTCCCTTGGATGACTTCTTGGATGGACTGCATTTTCAGAGCCACTTTTAGATGACAGTGGCAGATTTTACTATAGGCTTTAAAAGGCATAATTCAGTGAATTGAAAATGTGTCTAATGCTGCAGGAGTGCATTCTGTATACTGAGCTATATCAGCTATGCAATTAACTTGCCTCGGGCTAGAATCTGCAAATAAAATGAGAGGTTAAAACTACCATAGTTGTGTGCTAACAGTTTCAAAGATAAGCCTGGCAAATAGGAATATGATAGGTTAGGAATTAATGGATTTTTGTAATTTAACCATTAATCATTTAAAAACAATGAAATATTCGATGACACAATAAGGAATGAAAGTTAAGAATCTTTAGAACTAGAGAACACTAGAAATTATTCAGTCCAACCCTT